AATTAAGGCTTGCCATTGCACTAATAGTCACTCATCCAGACCAGGGCTGTCCAACATACGGCCCGCGAACTCCTTTCTTGCGGCCCGCTTCACGGGTCATGTATACAACACAAGTATAAATTACTCTCAAATACCGAATACGCATATACCTATTAAAACTCAGTAATCATGTTGTATAGAAAGATTTTATAATGCGGCCCTCCAAACTGCATTTTTTTTTTGAAGTGGCACTTGGGCCACTTTAAGTTGGACAGCCCTGATCTAGACTATGGTGCTACAGTACGGGTATAGGAGTTTTCTTACGGAAGAAATGAAGCAGTATTGCAAGACTGATGCACGACATTCTGTTTCAAAGATATACATAAACAAGAACATATTACAGAATATTGTTTAAGAGAAAATATTTTGAAATCCAAATATCGTGTATTGCTTCAGTATGAAACTCTATTGCAGAAAAGAATTAAAATATAAATTACCCAGTTATCTGTTTTCTTTACAGAAAAGATGTTCTCTCCGCCTAGTTTTTTTACACAATAATTTCAATAACCTAATTCATCCGACGACTAAGTTCAAAACATGCTTCACTTACACAGCACCATGTCTTCTGAAGGATTATATGAAGCTTTTGAGGCATTTTCCATCCAATAGTTTAAAAATTGGATGGAAAATTAAATTTAATAGCGGTTGCTACACTATCTTCCACAACACTAATATTTATTGTAAATGCTAATCACTCTATCCAGTTGATGTTAAATTAGCTTTTTAGGGGGACGTGAAAAGTGGCTGTACTAATCTTCTTCCCTTTTGGAATTATTCAAAAAACTAGTTCAGCACAAAAACGTTGGAATATCGTAATCACTTTTCGGTTTTGTCAATGTGGAAAGCTTTAGAAGTATAATTTTCGATCGCAACCGATCACCAACCTCTCACAGATATTCGCCCATTCCTCTATTCTAAAATTCCAACTGCAGTAACCAAGTAATCATTACATGGCAAAAAAAGGATGAGCATTCATCCAGTTACATGACAGCCAGCGCCAGTGGAAGCTCTCAAAGAGAATGGCGCTTCATTATAATCCATGAATATTATCGGCTTGTCGACAAATAGAGCTCGTTGCTCCTGTTGTAAATTAGAGAATAGAGCCGTTTTTACTGCATCTCATCCTAAGCCGCCAATGGGATGGCACAGGGCGGGCTTTAACAATAGTGTCGCTGATAGTCCATTGGTGCTCACATACCCATTTGTTGTTTATACAGGGTATTTTAAAAAGCGAACTGTCTATACGTGATTCGTCTGCCATTCATTAAAGCTTCTCTCGCACGTTCTTTGTTCTTTCTTGTTACGACTTGGATATTCTTCTAAATTAAATAAGCTACGTTTCTTTGTAATTATGAACCTATAGTTATGCGTTGCCCAGTACAAGCCCAGTCTTTAAATTTTCGTCCAATTTTTTTGCAAATTCAAGTGTCTTTATATAATTTAGATGCTAAGAATTTGAATGATTTTTTAAATGTTTTTTGTGGTCTTTGGATCTTTATCAGCCTATTCGAAATCGTGTGTCATGCTCGTGTTAATGGGAATTTTGTCCATTACAATGTTTTGTGGTATAACGTGGTGGCATGTAAAAAATAAATTTGCCTAGTATCTCTCTATCCCTGTTTCCTGATATAAGCTGTTCGATCTATATAATTTTGGCTTATGCAAAATGGCCTTAAAAACAGTTTTTTATACACCTAGATCAGAAATATATGTCTTGCAGGTGACACCCCAGGCCGTATATTATATGGGTTAAAACTAAGGCACGGTACAGTATTTGGAGACTGTTTGCAAGCATTTTGAGCTTAAAGGCAATATTTCAGATTTTTTTGATAACATACGTAATCTGGTTATTCCACCTTAAATGTCAGTTTATAAATACTTCAAGATATTCCAAACTGATAATTCTATCCATTTTTGACTTTTTGGCCATGATAATTATTGGAAGTTTGTTCGTAAAAACGTTGGTAAAACTTTTCATAAGATGTAAATCCAGTAAATTTGGTTTGTTTGAAGTTAACTGTTAAAATTTTACTGTCACAGCGAACATTACGAGTATTGGAAGTAATGACACGGTAAACAATAGTGGGAAACGACACCAAAGCGACACTTTAAAAAACTATTAATTCGTTTGCATTAGCCGCTGAATGTTTATACTATGTATTTAGTTTAAACAAAGGGTACTTTATAAAAAAATAAACATAACCGAGCTGCAAGGTAGTCATTTGCCATGGGTCAAAAATTATGCCGTGATCTACGTACTTTCCTCTTTAAACATCTTCTCAGTCTTTTCAGAGAAACTATCTCAATCTGGTTCTAACACCTCAATGCTATGCTGTTGCATGATTTTGTCAAATTTCAATTCAAATATATTTACCAAAACTACACACACTCGTACATTGATGGAGTTGATAATTTTATGCGACGAGTTGCCTCCATCAAAACACTTTACTCTGTCAGCTCTTGATATTCCAGTAAAGTTCACGTTCAAAGTTCAATTAGTTGTATACAGTATTAATTTCCTTGCTTCACGACGTGGTTCCCGCTAACTAAACTTTTCACAGAAGGAAATTGCATTATGGAAATTTAAATTTCTCCCAGGTATCGTGAACTCGGTTAGAGTTGGACTAAGTGGTTCGTCTTGGTGTTTCGATTCAGAGGTATAGAAAAGCAACTAAAGTATCCTACGCGGGACCCGTCCTCTAAGCCGGACCCCTGGTCTTATTGGCTCTGCGGTCTCTGACATATCACTATTGCCGAGTATGAATAGTAGCTTAGCTTATAAAGAAGTCGTCAAGTAGTTTGACTCCTACGCCGTTGTTGGATGTTTCAAACGAAAGGCGACATCGAATCGTGATTAGGTAGGTTCACCTAGGTACGATGAATCATCGCCCTTTGCACATCAAATTTTATAAAACAAATCTATCATATTTCTGTTTCCATGGCAAATATAGGAAAATATGTGAAATGGGTAGCACATTTAAGGATCAGACAATTCAGAAAAATATAATGTGAAGATATAATAATAGTTAAGTCATCATTTACAAAGGCATCGCAAAACGCTAAAGTGGTACGTACTACGATAATATATTATAATATTGCTGAAATATATAAATATTTCTTTTGTAGCGGTGTGCCAGTGATGACACCACTGCAGACTAGTTCGGGTTTACTACCCATTGCACAGTCGGCAGTGGCCTCCACAACGTTGCAGCAACACATTGTACACGCAACGCCGTTGATTGCCACGTTATTTCGAATTATGAGCACATTATACATCGGACTTTTATTTTTTAAGTTATTTCCAATTTTTTTTATTAGAATTTTTATCTATAAATTTTTATCTATCTCGTAACTGAGATGAGTATCTTTCTTGGATGCTATATAACATGTCTTTCTGTCGGTCTATCCGCTAATCTTTTAACCGCCTATAACTTAAGAAGTACCGCTCTGATTCCAATGGAATTTTTTGAAAATCGGTCCAGTGACGCCAGAGAAAAGGTCTAAAAACGAAAAAATCGCTTAAACTTGGTTCTTTGACGTTTCGGAGATTTCCTGTTAATTCTGTTTTTTTTTTTAGATATAACAGGATCATAGATTTCTCCTTTCATTAGTTTTTAACAAAAATATTCTCAGCAGATGGGTCGCGTACCTGCCGGCCGCGGCTGCTGCTCCCGGATGCCTGCCGCAGACCTTAGTTCTGTTGTTCCGGTATGATATTACACGTATTTCTGTCGCGCCGCAGCATAGTGTTTCCTGTGCTCTGACTGCGCTGCCACGTCTGACAGGGTTAAGTATCGGAAAGAGGCGACATTTCCAGGTAGGGCAGGGAAAGAATGTCTATGGGCTGATTTTTCTCATAGAAGCTTAAAGTATCAAGCACTAAACTCAAGTCACTTCCTTTAGGTCTTAAACAATTATCGGCAAGCACATTTAGGGTAGTGTTAAAAAAATATTTGTATGATAAACACATGTGACTCATTAGCTTATCATAACAGGCTACCGAGTAGGATAAGTCAGTTTGTAATATAAATATGGGTTTGTTTACTTCATTTGTCTATATAATATGTTTCATTTTAAAATCTTCCAGTGTATTACATCTATATAGGTTAGGTGTAAGCGTAGCGTCAAGCTAAACTTCGTATTTTGACGATTATTATTATTATAATTAGTTGTATGGACTTGCTTGATTGACTTGTTTCTCAGAGGATCTAGTCAATCTACTTGGCGCGGGTTTTAAAAGATGCTATTAGCTATTTTTGAATATATTTCAAATCAAAACATTGTAATTACTTCGGCAAACGTTTCAAGTCTGAACGTATTTGAGCCGTGACAGATTCGAGTTATAAAAGGATACATAGATCAATTCTGTACACAAAACGATGGTAAATATGCAAATTTTAAGCTCCAACTGAATTATCGGAGGGGCGATTCCTCCTTAGGGCGCCCATGACGACGATCAACATTGCAGAATGGTTTCTTCCAGAAAATTCGTTCGAACAGACCCAGCTCACTTTTGATGAGATTTAGGAATCGAAAATTCAATACCATCAGAATCGATTCATAGATTCCAATTGGTATGATTCCTTTCTAAGCATTCGTTGAGAATGACCCAGCTTTAGGTATAATATAAACTAACTGCTAGCAAACTCCATGATATATTGTTACTTTACGTACACAAGGACCACTTTTTTGAAGTTATTCTGAGGTTGAAACGGTGAAGGAACTTGCGAAAAATTGCTGTTGAATTTTGTTCTAAGCGGCGAAGTTTCTTTTTGAGCACGCAAAGTCGTTTGAAGCTCACTTTCGGAGGGTAAGAACAGAGGTTGTCTTGAATTTTTTATAGAGGCAAAAAGTGAACAGGACTTCGCCTTTTTGCATGTATCCCACGAACAATGTTTAAAAAATATGGCGTGATTCAAAATAACATTGACGTTTAAGTTTCTGTGATCGTTTTAACTTACCTTTTTTACATTTCTTCTGCAACGTTTTGGTTGGTTCGCAGCTTGTCTGGTTTCCTTTTTTCAAAGTAAGAGTTCTCGACCTTAAATTTGTCTTCGGGTCACATTCTGACCACGGACTTTTCGTATATCTGCAATCTTCTGCAAAAACAACCAAATATTAGTTATATAGATTGTATATACTCTTACACCTATAAGTAAAATTTGCAAAGTTACAATATCACTCTCAAAAAATTTATCAGCAAGTCCAAAATAAAACTTCTGATGAATGCGGAAAATATTGGAAATCCGGATGAGGCGCTCAGAAGTTTTGTCTAATACAATATATATCTTCTGTTTCTATAACCAACGTTCAGATTCTGTAATGAAAACATGGAATGAGACTCGCGTATAGAACAATTTATGTTTAATTGAAATTTACCAGCAATTCAAACATTATTGCAAATTCCACAAAGTTCATAGATACTGTAATTGAATTTAGCTGTACATGGATGTACACTACAGAATGATAATAATGCAATTATATATGCCAATATATACGTCTCCTCTTAAAACTAATTATAGCACATCACTTCCAGAGATAACCAATCTATAACAAATATTCTATAACCTACATTTCTAGATAAATTGTTATTGAGGCACGGCGGAAGCTACTGTTATCATTTAATATTATTTTTGTTTTCAATATTGATTGTTTATTTTTCTCTGGAAGTTACATTTTTACTGCATTAGTATAAAAATCACTGCCCGACATCCGCCCTTCAAGCGAAGTTAAGTAATGCCTTGGGTTTCATCTCCTTAACGTCCTGGGAATCCAGAACGTTGTAAGTGTTGTGGCCAGGCATACGCTATAAGATTAGCTACCATGCTTAGATTTAAAGCATAAAAAAACGCTGAAGTCATCACGATCCCAAACAGGGTAGCTTCGATATTCCACCAAGGTTAACTTCCTATTATCTTGCTGGGTCTAAGCTAGCCGAAAAAAAAAAGATTAAACGTCATCTTGTGATTCTTGACGTGCAATGTGACTTTCGGTGTGATTATATTGCAACCACTCTTAACAGCTGGTAAGTTGCCTGTAGATGAATTAAGGGCATTTGATAACGTGTGGCACATGGGCCTCTTCTATACGCTCGTCCAAAAGAACTTTCTATTTTGACTTTTAAAATTTCTGAAATCCTTTGCAGAAGGTTCCTAGCTATCAGAATCAAACTAATCAGTGTTTTGTCAACAACACGGTCTGTAAGAGCCGGAGCTCTCCAGGGTTCCATCAGAGGACCACTATCCACTTTATGTAATAGCCCTGGTTGCACAGCAACCCTCTGTTGCGGGACGCAGATTACACAGACGAGCAAGTTCTCAAACACTCCAGTCCGTACCTGGCACTATGATCAAAATTATTATTAATTGCGTGCGTATAACAAAAAATATTTCTTTACAAAGCCTCGATCAAAATTATTTTTGGAATAACAAAACCATTCGAGTCGTCAAACCAACAATGGATTTCCACTTCAACCAGTTTACTTCTACTCTTTGCTCTATTCCTTCATTCCTATGTTTCCATTTTTCTCTTTCCCTCTTAAATTTGTTTGATATATGGGTAACCAGACCTGAGAGAATAAGGGACCGATGAGACTTTTGTCTAAGAGCAAAGGTCTACTGGATCGCTCTGACAAACAACGACGTATAGTAGTAGCAGTTTAAATAATTCTAAATTTTGTTTGACAGCTTCTTTCAACCTTCTAGACATTTAAGGATGTAGTCAAAATACAAAAATTTAGAATCATGCATGTTGTACATTTCACTTATCACCAATAAGTTCTTGACTGAATCTACCCAACTTCATTTTTACTTCCTATGCCAAAACTACTGTAATCGCGAAAAATTTCGATTTTCAGATATTACGTTTTTGGACATTTACACAAAAAACCATGCAACTCATTTCCGTAGGTCTGTCTGTCTGTCGGTCTGTCCGCTAATTTGATAACCACGTATAACTTCAGAAGTATCGCTAGAATTTTGATGAAATGACACATGGTTACTGCTATGCCGAGGATGGAAAAGCTTTGTAGTTTCTGAAAATCGGTCAAGTGGCGGTGGAGAGAAAGATAAAAATCGTTTCGTTTTTTTGAAGTTTTAGAGGGTCCTGATCATTTTCAGAAACATTTTTGTAGGAGTTGAAATTTGGAGGTTGGAGGTTGTAGATGGTAGGGAATAGGATGTACAATTTTTTTATCTTAATATATTAATACGCTCCCAACCCCGGTAATTCTATGCACCTATTAGCCATCTTTCACACATCATATATTTATCCGTACATTTGCTTTTAATACTTAGAATGTTTTAGGTCCGCGTACTCGTGCCTATCAAAGCGAACCGCTTGGCGAACCAGTCCGGCTGAAGTCCAAAAACATATAGAGCTTGCACGAATCGAAAGACAATTCGCTGCAGAGATGCTGCGCAGATGTGGAAAGGGACAACGTTGCCACATGGTCGGTAACTACCAGTAGGGAAGGGAAAGAATGGCTATGGACCAACTGTATAGGCCTTATTGACTGACTTAATACGTTTATTTCTCTGTTGTACATGTACTTAGTATTTTTTCAGAGGATTTAAATTGCACCAAACTTAATTCTTTATGAACTGATGATGGCGTTGCGTAGGACGTGCAGAGTCAACCCGCTTGACGCCATTTTTTTAATAGGCAATTTAGATGGTTAGAAGTTATTTACAACTGCTGGAATTGTATGGTTCTAGGTAGCCCCTCCCCTATGTATATACACCCCAATAGCGTGTGGCGGCCGTTTCATTAAAAATTCTATTATGCTTTATGTATTGTTACAGTCCGGCCGGCCAGCTAATTAATGTCATAAACTTTATTCCGGGTGTGCATTAAAATCCGGAATATCTCGCCTGCTTCACTTATTATGTTATTATGTATAGTGTTGGTCATTATACTTGCTACTAATTCAACTGCATTATAAACTACTCTCGAAACATTTACTTCTTTTTTCATTGTCTACAGTCCAGGGACTTTATTAGGATTGAATAGAGCTAGACGTCATTATCATACAGTGTTCCCAAAACAGTATCCTCTAGCTATTTTTTGAATGGGTCCAGAAGGCAAGCTGAAAATACCGGGTGTTTCAAATTCGGCTCTCAGTAATGAGATCTCGGAAGCGCTTACAGATCCGAAGTCGGTTGAGTAAACGCAAAGCTGCGCAATTAAGTGACCTTATGTTATGTCATAAACTTTTCCAGATGTGCATTAGAATCCAGAAAATCTCGTCTACTCATTTATTATGTATATTGTTTATTTATTTATTTATAGCTTTTATTGCCCAACAGATAATATTCCATTTACAGGCCAAAATCTTAAATTATAAATATTACAGAAGCCTAACTTATAAAACTATCTAAGGCGCTCCCGCATAACACATTTCAGCTCCGAAATAGAACATAAGAATATGTCACAAAACTTACAAATACTATTATAATTCAAACATATAACCCTTTCATGTGATTTCAAAATCAAATTTATGTTAGCATGACTGCAAAAGCAAGTAATATTACATCTGGAAACGGATCTTGGCGTTAAAAACTGTAGTTGTGATAACAATTCCGAAGAAACTATAGTTCCATGCAAGAGTTTAAGCAAAAAAATAACAGAACTGTGCTTCCTTCTCACATTCAAAGACGTCATTTTAAATCTGTCTAACAGAATTTGATAGTTCGACCTACGTTGAGGGTAGACTATAGCGCACTTAAAAGCTAGATATTTAGGAAACTTTTTTTGAACATAATCTATCCTGTTTATATAACAGTCATAGTAGGGATTCCGTATTAGGGATGCATACTCTAACTTGGATCTTATATAAGCATAATACAAGGCTTTTGGTGCTATCAAATCATTGATTAGCTTACAGTTTCTAATGAGAAAACTTAAGGCCCTATTAGCATTATCCAAAATATTATCTATATGACAGTCAAAACTGAGCCTAGTGTCAAACATAACACCCAAATCACGAACAGTATCAACTCGAGTGACCTCAATTCCCCCAATACTGTATGCATATTCCATTTTACGTAGCTTTCGGGATAAAGTAACTACCTTGCATTTAGCAATATTCAAATGTAACCTGTTTAGCATACACCAATCTTCCAAACGGCATAGTTGCGTTTGTAAATACTCACAATCTCTTTCAATATTACTATTAAAATACAGTTTCAAATCATCAGCAAATAACAGTTTACCACAATCAATATAATCACATACATCATTCGCAAAGATAAAAAATAATAAGGGACCCAGGTTAGAACCTTGTGGCACCCCAGATGACGAAACGATTCGAAACCATTGTAAGAAACCTACAGCTGTCGATTCCACAAGTAAGACATTAATAACGATATTGATTTGTCAGTAAAACCAAATGAACCCAGCTTAGCAATGAGCACCCCATGATCAACCTTATCGAAGGCTTTAGAAAGGTCAGTGTAAGCTGTCCCTGATTATCTAGGACATTCTAGGCTAACTGAGTGAATACTGCCATATTGGTGTCAGTTGACTTACCACACATGAACCCATGCTGGAACTCGGATATTTGACTATAGGTGGAGAGGTAGGTGCGGTTGTAAAGAATTATATCAAATCATTTTACAAAATTATTCAATATTGAGATCGATCTATAGTTCTCAATTGAATCACGGTCACCCGCTTTGTAAATAGGACAAACCCTGGTTTCCTTCCATTTATCTGGAAATTTAGCTGTAGATAATATGAGATTAAAAAGAATAACCAGAGCATCTACTATACCAAGCGCACAATCCTTGACCAGGAAAGAGGGGAGCTTATCTCGCCCTGAGGTCATCTTGGACTTCAGTTTTTTGCTGTATCACATATTTCATTTTCAGTTATACTCTCCTGAGTTAAGTTGACAATACATTGGATGTTAGAAGATAGGTTTTCACCGCAATAGGCATTAGATGGCAAGTAAACCGTTTTAAAAAAATCAGCGAAATCATTTACAATTTACAATTGACTGAGGATCACCGAAATCATTATTTAGATGAGTCATATGACATGGAATCTGTGATGTTTTGTTCTTTTTATATAGTGTATAAATGACCAAAAAGAAGCGGGTTTATATCTCACCGATTCTTGAACTTATTGCAATAGCTTTCGTACGCAACCTTGTATTTGATGAGTGATCTTAGTCTAATGAACCCGTTTCTGTAAAAATTGTTTTTAGTTTGTTTCCATTTACGACGGTTTATTGCCTTATCTTTTATGTTCTTAATTATTGACGAATTATACCATCTTGGAAACTTCCGCTTGAAGTTTTTGAATAATGGTACATGCTTATCCAAGATTCCATAAAACTTTTTGTAGAACTCGTCAATTTATTGCTTTATTAACATCCTGAAATGCTTTCAAAAATGACCAATCAATAATAGTTAACTCATTGTATAATGCATCAAAGCCGTCTTTTTTAAAATTA